CTGGATTAACAGATGACGCTGATGTTATCATACATGAGTTACGTAAATAAACTACGTCGCAAAGCTTTGCGAAATGATATCAGATCAAATATCTTTATAATCTCTGACGTCATTAAGATGTGACGATCTCGGAGTGGATAATCAGGAGAGTTCAGATACCAAAAATAAGTCAGATTGCAAAATTCCAAGTATTTATTATAAAGTATGCACTGTTATCACATGGAGCATGACATATGGGAATCTGATTCTTTGAACTGGCTACTCCGGTACAAGAAAAATACCGTCATCTTACGTTATCTAATCTTAAAGGATGAAGTTACATACATTAAAGAAGACAGTATTCGGTAAGATGCGTGAGGTCTGATGTTTAAGACCCCTTAAGGGGGTTAAGGTACAGTATCGATGACTTGCTAAATTAAGCGGACAGTTGCTACATGTAGACAGCTCTCGTTTAAAGACAGCCAATGAAATTTCAGGGCAGCAATACAAAAAAAAAATATTCTGAATGAGGATAGCCTCTGATATTAACATTTTCGTCATCATTTCATACTAAAACCGTTGTAATAGTCTCAAAACAAGATACGTGAGGCGTCTCTTTATTTTTTGGGTACCGCCCATAAATAGCTAGAACCGGCCTAAGATACAAAACAAGCAACCGTTTTCCGTCAGCGACATCGTATTTTTGTCTCACAGATATTAGTATGCTATGGGATAGGATTGATTCAACTTAAAACATGAAAAGAATGGCCAGAAAATTGACTTTGAAAATCAGTTTAACCGCCTTGAAATTGGTACATGCAGTTTTTAAGTCATGAGCCCAAGACCAGCATGCCTTTCGCCTTTCAACGGAATGCACCATGGGTAATCTAACATGGCTCTCCTGGAGTTCCAAAAATCACGAATAAAGAACTAGTAGAATATTTCAGAAATTCAAGGCTGTCAGAAGCAATTTGACTTGATATGTTTCAATAAAGTAGTCACTTCACCTCTCTGTTGAAAATATATACTAGATGGCATTTGTTTTGTCCAAGAAGACAGAATTGTGTGTGTGTAAATTTAATGCCCAATGGATATCAGTGGACACCAAAGCTCAAACGGAAATAAAATTATCACCGATGTCAACCGATGATGTTCCTAACAACGTCCCTCATTTGTCTTGTCTAGCTATCTTGTCTGAGCATAAAACTGTCGTTGCCTCCCGCATTTTGATATAAGTTGACACTAAAATATGTATAATTTGTTTCTAGGATAGAAAAAAATAATAAATCAAATTAACAACTGGACATTTTCTGGCTCTGTTGCAACAGCACAGCCCGTCAGTTATATAATTATACCACATGGAGCCTAAAAGGAAGCAGTTGAGGTTGTTGGTGACAGACATCTGTACAGTTGAGAGGCCCGATGTTTAGATAATGTTCCGGGCATGTCTGCCTGTGATGGTCATCGCCCATGTCTTTGAAACGAAGCACAGTAGCGTATTCGCTGACGTCTTTAGCTATTCTCCCATGGACTTAATACTTGCACGCACGTACGAAGACACACACACACGCGCGCGCACGCACGCACGTAGGTAAACACACACACACAGGACACACACACACACACACACACACACACACATACATCCACACACACACACACACACACACACACACTACAACACACACACACACACACACAC